GAGTTTCTGAGATCTGACACCGGGCTAGCCTCATCTGTCCAGGTCAGGGTGTCCAGACTGTGTAATACTTAATTGGGAAAGGAGAAGGTATGCCAAACTCAGAAAACTTGGAAATGCCAAAATATACAGCAAGTCACAAGGCTCATCTGCCATGAAATGGGCTGGGACAGGATAGCTCACAGGCTTATGGATCCACATCATGGTCACTGAGAGCTAGTATGGTGTCATGGTTAGAGTGCCAGAGTAGGATCTGGGGGACCCAGGCTGGAATTTCCACTGTGCCTTGCAGCCCCGTAGCTAAGGACTTTTTTGGGAGGGGGTCATGGGGGGGCTGGCAGCTAATGTAATCAAAAGTTCCAGGTAACCCTCCGCTGGTGGCAGCAGGCCACACGCTCTCTCAGCTACTTTGCCGAGTGGGAGGATGAGGCGGGTGGGGGTGGTCGGTGGTCAAGGGAGGTGGTAGCAGTGGCGGCGGGCGTCCTCCACTCCCCCCCCCGTGCATTGCCTCCAGTCATGAAGGTCATGGAAGCCGGGAGGGAGCATGCACCGCGGGAGCGGTTCAGAGTGCAGGTAAAGGGCTGCCCCTTGGTGTCTCTGGTGCGCACTCTCAGCAGCTCCCTTAGAAAAACCCCCACGGGGCTTGTTGGGGGGACTCTAGTGGTGGTGGGGAGGCAGGAAGTTTTTAAAGCAGGCACACGTGGGCTGGAGTACAGAGACCGGTCCTGTGGTTAAGAAAGGGTAAATGGTGAGGAAGAGAAGCCGACAGGAGCTGGCGGCAATTTGGCTGAGTGTAAAGGGGAGTGAAGTGTTGGAAGGTAGCTCTGGGGATGAAGGATTCCACTTCTCTGGAGTGCCCAAGGAGCTCAGTTGTTGGGTAGCCAGGTTGGAGGCAGTGCGGTGTGCAGGTGGCGAGTTGAGGCACTTTGGGGACAGCCTGGGAGGGAGGTTGCCCAGAAGAAACACAAGGGGGCCAGGCCCCATGGGCTCCGCGTTAGCTACGGCCTGGTGCCTTGGAAGCTTGCTGGGTGATCTTGGGCCTGTCACACACTCTCAGTCTAACTTGCTTCACAGGGTTATTGTGAGGATAAAATGGAGAAGGATGTAAGCTGCTTTGAGTCCCCTTTGGGGAGAAAGGAGGGGTATAAATGATGTGCTTAAAAAGTAAATAAGCTGTGAATGTAGGAAGGCCTCCACCCTCTACTTTCTGTGGCCTCGGCAGGTCCCTCTTGATATAGCAGATTAAAAGGTAATTTCTACCTTTTCCTGCTTTATATTATGACTAGCAGTAAAGCCCGTTGTGAAAGCAATACAACGGGATCTAGAAAGAGGCTCTGGGGCAGTGCTCTGGCTTTGGGCAAACAGTGTCAATTTGCTGTGGTGACCTCAGCAGGGTATAATGACAGAGTCCACTGTTTTCTCCAGAGGAACTGATCTCTGCTACCTGAAGAGCAGTTGTAATTGTGAGTAATCTGTAGCCCTCACCTGGAGATTGGCAACAATTGTTACCCAGGACAAAATGGCTGGTTTGGAGGGTGGAGTCTATGGCATTCTACCTGTCTGAGGTCCCACCCCTCTGCAAACCCCACCCTCTCCAGGCTCCACCCCTCAAATCCCCAGGAATTTGTCAGCATGTAGTTGGCAACCCCATCTCCTTCCCAGCTAGCCACCAACCTACCATTATCTGCCCCTTTGACTTCAGCTGACTTCTGCCCTCCCTTCTACAGAGCAGTTGTAATACTGAGTGCTCTCCAGCCCTCACCTGGAGATTGGCAACAATCGTTCCCTATGTGAGACTGACTGGTTTGGAGGGTGGAGTCTATGGCAGTGTACCTGTCTGAGGTCTCACCCCTCCTCAAACCTCACCCTCTTCAGGCTCCATCCCTCAAGTCTCCAGGAATTTCCCATCTGGAGTTGGCAACCCTATCAGGATTGGCCCCAATGTGTTTTCTCCCAAAGGCCAAAGTAGGTGACAGGACCAAGCTTAGTTGCCTACCAACAGGCACTGAGGGGAATGTAGGGTTGCCAGCTCTAAGGAGGGAAATACCTGGAGGTTTGGGGGGTGGATTCTGTAGAGGGCAGCATGGGGGGTGGTGGAAGGACTCAGCAGGTATAATGTCATAGGGTCTACCCTCCAAAGCAGCCATTTTCTCCAGGGGAAACTGATCTCTGTCATCTGGAAATCAATTGTAGCAGTGGGAGATCTCCAGGTCCCACCTGGAGACTGGCAACCCTGGGGGAAAGTCAGCTGCACAGCAGGGGGTTGAAGAGAATGGTTTGATGGCTGCTGGGCCAAGATTGGCAACAATAGTT